TATATCATGCTCCTGGCCCACGCCTGGCTTCCTGGCCAAGTGTCTCATTTCCAGCTTCCTACCTTTACCTGAACTGACATCCTGGACCCTAGACTTGCTTCTGTTCTTATCATCTTGATCCTGGTAACGTCCCCTCTCAGTTGTCTCCTGAGGCTCTTCTTCAAACGGGGACCCTGGGTTCTGCCTCCCTGCCCCCTTCACGTAGAACCACCCCCTTGCCTGTTGTCCCACAGTGCATAGGTTTAGACCTGGATTCTCCCCCTGCTTAGCCCCTTAGGGTGGACATCATGTCTGCATGGTCTTCAGAGCTACCCATAATTCCCCTGTTCTCCAGGGACCACCCCTACCCTCCCCAGGTCCTAGATGCTTTCGGGGACCTTCCCAGCAGTGAGTGACCTTGTTCTGTGTTGGAAATGGTTATTCAACCTCAGATGATGGGATATATGTCTCTCTGCTCTTTCCCTTGGACTGATCTGTCTTGACTACCAAACTTACATTGTTAGCCCCCTACAAACGAGAACCCCACACCCACCAGCATCAAACTCTCAGCACCGGACTTCGCCAAAGCTCCTGTTAGTTACAAGAACATCTAGGGACAAAGCAGCCACTGGTCTGGAGGTGCTGAGGCCAGACAAGAATAAATGAATTACCAATAGCTCCTTCACCTGACTCAATGACATGTTTGGGCAGGGCTGCCTCCCCACTCTCCTGCTTGGGTCAGAAGGAGGTCATGAGGTCAAACGATTCGAGTGCATCCCTGACAAAGGGAAGAGACCATCATTCCTGTCAGCCAGACTGGGGCCCCACACCGACCGCCCTCACTGGTTCAGCAGAGGCTAATGCCACAGACTCCCCCAGCTAGGTCTGAGCTGTGCACTCCTCTCTGTCTCCCCCATAACTCTGCGCTTGCTTCTGTCACTGCCAGCGGCACCCCGTATTGCAACCGTTGTCTCCACACTGAGACAGCCTCTTATTAGTCTGTGCATACCCACAGGGCCTGCCACACGGACAGAGCTTTGCAAATGACGAATGAACGCAGCAAGGAATGCGCCAAGCAGCGAAGACAACCAGGCTTGGCTGTACACCCTGACTGAGGAGCAGGTGGGAACACGCGATAAAAAGCTGTATTCAGAGCCACTTCCCAAGGTCAGTCCTTCACCGTAGCCTTAGCTCAGCCCCCTCCCGGGGCCTTACCTGTACGGCTCCATGGTCCGAATGCCATAGAACAGCGCCTCCTCCAACAGGCCGAGGTTGATGCAGGCGTCCATGGCGCAGTCGAGCACCCTGAGCTGATAGATGTTGATGTCAGGAAGCCGTGCAGAGTTGCCGCTTATGATCTTCTGGCACATGGCCAGGACCTGTTCCCACTCTGTTAGCAACCCGAGTTAAGGATTCTTTGTCTTCACCAAGAAGAACACAAATGGGAAACCGGATTCTCTAAGAGGGCGGAGAGCTCCCAGGCACAGGAGGGAAGGAAGAACCCGTTGTTTTGCACAGGTGAGCTGCCTGAAAACACACTTGAGAGACAAAAACGTGTAAGTGGCACCTCAGAGAAGCGAATTCTGTTTACATCAACAAACCACCTTCTCACCAGGCCTGTGCTTTGGGGGATTGAGATGCCAAAGCACTGTTCCTTCTTCCTGCTCCTAACTGTTTTCTCTCTATGCCCAG